CAGAAATTGCTGCCCCTGATCTTGGTGGTAGCATATAGCAGGCAAGTGGAAAAGATTAGGAGCGACTAGTGCATTTGAAGCAGATTGGCAAGGATTTTTGACTCCCAATTGTTTGATAGTGGCAACAAAATAGCCCCTCTCCAAAAATGGTATTGTTGCATGGGGAAAGCCGGGGAGGGAAATTGATTTTTGTGTGCAAGGATTATGAGCTCAGCTGTGGTCTGGCACTCAGAACAAATCCCCGAGCTCTGAATTATTTAATTCTAAGTGTGTATCTTTTGCACCTAGCTTCAACTGGTGGATCTCAGGGGTTCTGGTCATCTCCATGATTTTGTCTCCACTTTTGCCTATCACACTGCTTATGTATGCTTTATGTCTATAGAGCACATGGAGCACCCAGAGCAGACATTGTAGTGATGCAAACGGTTGAAATAAAATGCCCATCAGAGACAAAAGTCCAGCACTTCAGAAATAGCGTGTGCATGGAGCGGGGGGGGGGGGGATGGAGACCAGATGTCAAGGGAAGCAAAACTGAATTGTCAACAGATTGAGATCAAAGTCTACATTTTGGCTGGCCTTTATGATGCTAAAGAGGCTATCTGGTCTTGGTGTATTAAAAAATATATAACAGAAACAAGTGTGTGTGTCCAACATTTGTTTGTTTTTCCTTCTTATAGTGCTTTTTGTTTTATTTTAAGGAAATGTTAAAAGGAAATACAGGTTTTATATAGCTTTCCAAAGACAGATTCTGGAATTGGATAGCATTTAGCCGGAGAAACATCTGCTGTACCTAATGAAAATTAGAAGCTGGAAGATTTCGAGAGATGGAGTGTCTGACTTAGAACTACAAGAACCACACTTGGAGAGTTCAGCCATAAAAGTGACTGGGTGACCTTCTTGAGCCAAACATTATCTGATGTATCCGGCCAATTTAGACAAAGAAGTAGGAGATTCATGACTACATGTTCTGTCTTTTAAAATCAATTTAAAAATCAGCATCCTTTGCTGATATTTGCCAGAGTCAGGACTGTGGTTTTGCAGGAGCTCTACCCCCTACCACATTGCTACTATTTGCTGCATTAGCGAAAGCACAATGACAACCATAGAGTACTGACTGGATGTGAAAGACCCAAATGAACGACATATAATGAATGAGGGCCCTTTCATCTTTTTTTTGTGCATTCACAATGATCTATGCTCATGGTGCTATTGGGGTGGTCATATACTATTGGACAGGACATTTCAATACTATTTGCATCTTCAGATTTTTTTTGGGAATTCACACTGCTTCATTTCCAATCAGTGCACATCCCATATCTTCCTACAGAAATCCTGTACAGTGGTACCTCAGGTTAAGTACTTAATTCGTTCCGGAGGTCCAAACTTAACCTGAAACTGTTCTTAACCTGAAGCACCACTTTAGCTAATGGGGCCTCCTGCTGCCGCCGCGCTGCCGGAGCCCGATTTCTGTTCTCATCCTGAAGCAAAGTTCTTAACCTGAAGCACTATTTCTGGGTTAGCGGAGTCTGTAACCTGAAGCGTATGTAACCTGAAGCGTGTGTAACCTGAGGTACCACTGTAACGTTTAATACCACAAATATTCTTTGTTCTGCTTTTGTTGCACTGTAGCCCTTCTGGAGGTGGCATTGGGGACACATTACAGGACAAACCAAAGCAGACTAGACCCACCACTGATGCGCAATTCCTTTGTCAAGATCATGTTGCAGAATATACCCACAATATAGCATCTGTCTGGGGGAAGTCTGAAATTTAAATATTCTTAAGTCTGTGCTCTGTGTCAGGGACTGGGCAGAGAAGGAATGGTGGAGACCGCCTCCCTATGCTGACCCTTCCAGGGAGTAAGAATAGAAAGACAGTATAGATTTACAACAGGGGTTTGAGGGAGGTCACAGTTCAGAGGCCGATGACGGGAAAAGTTGGGACGTCATGGGAGAGCCAGAGCAACACCTTGCTGACACGTTCTCATTAGAAAGCATTCCAGACCCTCCACCTCCCAGAACCTGGCAAGCTTTAAAAGTAGGAGAGCAAAGAGCTCGAAGACAGAGGGCACGTAGCGGCACGAGTAGAGGAGATGATGAGAATGATGAATGAGGAAGTGGGAGAGATGGAGGATGGAGATTCACTCGGGACAGTGCCATTATCCAAGAGGCTGAGTTCATTGTCTTTATACTTTCCTGGGCAACCAGCTGGGAGCTGCTGACAGCATCCTGACACCCTGCCTCCATGTTCAGAGGCATTCATGTTTCTGAATATCAGTGGCTGGAAGCCACAGGAAGGGAGACTGGTTTTGTGCTGCTTGCCAGTTTCCTATAGGCATCTGATTGGCCATTGTGAGAAAAGGATGCTGGACTAAAGGGACCACTGACTTAATCCCGCAGACTCTTCTTATGTTCTTAACTCACTTAGGTTCATATTGGGTTGGTGAACCCTGAGCCTGAGGGTCTGGTAGGGCCCCTGAAGCCTACCTCTTAGCACCTGCCATTTTTGTTTGTGGTGTATTTTTATATCCTATGTTATCAACATGTTTGCTTACATACTGGCAGCAGACTCAGCACCTAGATGGTTTTAAACTGGCCTGGACATCTGAGTGACTGATTGCTGAAGTAAGCTGGACAGTGGCATACACAGGCAATATTCCATTACAACTTTGTGTCTATTTAATGAATCAAAAATGTTTGCAAGCGATAATTGATTCCCATTAGAACATATTGGCGCAAGTGTTCAGCACAGCTGAATGTATCATCTTTAGGAACAAATGAGTGTTTTACAGCATTTTTGGAAAAGTAAAGCGATACATAAGGCGATACGAAAAGACACAGTGTTCTTTAAAAAGTCACAGAGCACTTTCATATCTTACCAACAATATGACATTAGTCAAACTATCAGTCCCTGAGAAATGTAGTGCCAATGTAAATACCGGCAGATTTTGGCAGAACATTTTGGCCCAAGTTTTTGAGACAAAGCCATGCACCTCTTCCTTATAAATTAATTGAAGTGTTTTCCACCACCTAATTATCTCAAAGTACAAGTGCGCAGATCAATCCTATATATATTTATTTTGAAGCTGTTGTTTCTTAGTTCAGTGAGGTTTACATCCAAGAAAAAGTGCACAGAATGAAGCCAAAGTCTCAAAGAAGTCTATGGAACTGATCGGCTTTAAGCAGAGATGTACCAAAACTAAGGTATTCACCAGACCTGTAAGTAAACATGCACAGGACTGGTCTGCATGGACCATTCAAGTCAGCAGAACTTGTAAGGAGACAATAATCAGTAGATATTCTGTCTGAGGGCAATGGTGCATAGAGCATCGGTTTCCTGTTGAGGAATCTGGGACCAGTAATCCCAGTTCTTGTTGGGAAAAGGTGCTCTGCCCCACACTGTTGTCTTCCTCCAAGGGAAATTCTTGGTCTGGGGCTATGGAGGTGGCAATGGATGACAGAGACAATGAAAGTGTAGATCTGTTCATCCTGTTCAAAGTACGCTCTAGGCAGGGCTGTGCTCACCTGATTTTGCCCACAAACATACAAGGCTCACTTTTGCCTTGTATGCCTTCCTCGAGCTGTTGCAAAATCCCTAGTGCTCTCTAGAACTGGATAGTGCCTGCTTACTGTGTACAAAAATCGTGAACTGAGATGCTGAATTATGGCAGCTATGTAGACAAAATAGGGTTCTGAGAAAACAGGAAGATATATTGTGGAAACTCCAAGCTTTGCAAAAGCAGAAATATTTGTGTGGATGGGTGGGTGGGACTAGGATGGGTAACTCCCCCCCCCACAACCCCCCCCACAACCCTTCCCCAAATGAGTATGCTCATGGAATGAAGAGTTTCTGCTATGGATGGAAAACTGGGGGAGGGAGTGGAGAGTGATATGGAATATTCTGAAAGAAGGTCTGTCTGAAACACTGAACAGGATCATTCCACACTGCAGCAGCATTTTGTTGTAGGTCCCACTTGTGGTATCACAAAACTCAGAGCCTTCAAAGAGAGGACTTGAGCTGAAACTCTGTAGTATCAAGTAGTAATGGGCAAACTGATGAGACTCAGTAGGAATGACAGTAATTCCATACCAGTAATTCATAGATACAAAAGTACATTGTTGCAAAGATTCACTGACCTCATCCAACATTTGAAGAAAAAAAATATTACTGGATATTTGTGAGGAGTGGTGCATTTGTAGTAGCTTATAAGAGAAGCATTAAATAAATTTCCTAAAATTCCCATTGTAAACTACAAGGAGTAATTTTACATATTTAGGTGTGACCAAAAAGCGATCATCTTCTGCTCTTTCAGAATAAAGCTTTCATTGGTGTTTTTTTTAAAAAAAACTCCCTTTAGACATTTGATATGATATTTTCTGCTACTTAAAGTGTTTTTAAATCTATTTTATGAGTATTCCACTTGTTTACTTGAGTAGCTCACTAAGATCCATTGTAGAGTGAATTGGTGGCTATATAAATAATCTTATTAATGCTGCAGATGTTTCCTATTTGATGGCCAAAGCTCACTCACATCTAGGCTAGAACTTGTCTTCTTTCTTCAGCTTACTGTCTAAAGTTTTCTCAATAATTGGTTATTGTTAAGGGCTCAGTCCTGCACAAAGTTCACACAGGATTTCATACTTGCAGTGTGGATGAGAGATGGATGATGGTTTCAATTGTGCTAAAATCATGAGTGCACCATATGGTCCTCTGTGAACATGGTTTGAGGGAATGGGGTGCTTTTTGGGTGGAAGAAATGTTAAGGCATCTTAATCTACTCCTCACTCATTCTTTGTCAGCACTATTTTCCAACGCTCCCCCCACCCCACCTTGCTGGAGTGATCCCAGACAATCAGAAATCACTCTGTGTGATAACACTGCAACATCAGATAAACAATCATAGTGGGCTACATGATGATATAAATGAAAACAAAAGAAACTCATTGCCTTCTCTCTGAAAATTCACACTGGCTGTTAGCCTTGTAGTCAGGTTAACTAAGCTGATGGTGGCGCAGTGGGTCAGTGTGTCTGACTGTTAACCAGAAGGTTGATGTTTCAAACCCACCCAATCCTGTGGACAGGATTCCTGCACTGTATGGGGTTGGACTAGATGATTCTCGGGGTCCCTTCCAACTGTAGAATTCTATGATTCTTCAACTTCTGTGGTGCAGCAGCTCTAACTTCTGCATTTGTTGTGAACACTTTTAGCTCCTTTGAGAGACACCTGTGAAAAACCACTGCTGGAACCATTTTAGAAAAGCGTCTCCCCCAACCCCTGTCAGATCATCTGCATTTAGTATCTCTACTGCCAATACTAAGACTTTGGGATGAGGTAAACTACAAACTAGATAGTTAAAAAAACCAAAACCCAGTTCTTGGAATTTGCTTATTAGAGGAGTAATTTTTGATATTGGCCAACATAGTATTCAGAATCATGCTGCAAAACACCCCCCAGCTAGCTGGCTTCATTAAACTGCCTAGTTATTTATTGGCAGATCAAGTTCAGGGAAAGAAAGTCAGTCTGCCTGGATGCAGCATTTATTGAGTCTGAAGCAAAATGTCAAGGGGAGAGATTTTACAGATGAACCATAAGTTACTGCTGATGTCGCATAATCTTGTTGTAATAGTTGCAACGATGGGTTGAAAGGGACGTGAAAATGTTTCTTCTGTTCCTTCAGGCAACATCCAAGAAGTGTAGGAAGAGAAAAAATGCGAAATGAACAGCAAGTAACGCTGCATATATATTGTGGCCCAGATGCCATGAGCTCACGGCTGGTGTGGGCCAAGGCATGGGAAGATGCAATAACCACAGGACAATTTCTTGGGATTTAAACAAGCCACAACTTTATTGATTACAGATGTCAGTAGGTTTTGGTGTAGGCATTGGATTAATTGCTTGGCAGGGTTGACCCTGGTATATGGATCACCCTATGATGTACATCGAATTGGAGTGAGCTCCCCAAGATTGCCATTTTTTGGGGGTGCTATGGCCCATCGGCCCCTGTCTGGACATCCAGACAGTAGTGCTTCTCCCTGGCCCCATTTAATAGGGTACACCAATTCCTTGGTGTGGGGGGTGGGGCACCCAACACCTGTTCCACCTTGAATAAAGATCCACCCCAATGCCTTATCCACCAACAACTTGCTATGAGATAGGCAAAATCTCCAGACAGGCCAAATTTGTCCCAGGAAAATTTCTGTTTGGCCCCGAATTTGGTGACCAGGTGTTTCCACAGCAAGGTCTTCAGCTTGACCTGCCCACTCACCTTTAGGTTGAGTCATAACATGCTGCATAAGGTAGGAGGGTGAGAAATCCAATGACCACTGAGCACCCAAGTCCAGGTGTGGTTTCCTTTTATGCCTAGGAAGCAGACCAGAGGGACAACAGGGGGGACATGCCCAAGCCATCCCACCCCCTTGCTTGCTTGGGATGGGACACAAACTGTAGGTGAACCCTAGCAGCCAGCATAGCTGAGGGAGGAGAAAATGATGTCCTCCCTCAGCCACTTAAGGACCAGAAGAACACACCCAGTTCAGCTATGGTCGTGCTGGTCCACAATCACTGCTTCCTGGCCAGGCAGACAGTAAGTGGTCCTTCTTGGTAAATTCCATTAATAACACGAAGGATGATTTCTGGGAAAGTCTATACTAACAAGAAACCGAAGGGTGTGTCACTGACAGTCTCAAAATGGGGCATTTATGTGTTAGAAAAGCAACAAATGTTTTCTGACAGCAGTTGAGAGGAGATGCCAGGCTGGGAATGATCCTTGCAGGCCCATGCTCACTCAGGTGTTGACCCTGAGCATGGCCCCCTCTCCATCATCCAATGCTCACCATTTGAAGGCCTCAGCTCCAGGGTCAGACTTCAGCTCCAGGGTCCAGCCCCAGTTACACCACTGATCTTGGTGGTGCCAATATCTTCTGGTAAATTAGAGAGGGATTTACCATATTGGTTCAAATATAAACTACCCCTGAATATAGGACACACCCCTAAAATGTAATCTCTTAACTCAAAACTTCCCTAACTGCAACAGCATAGTTATAAGCCACACTTAGGTTTTATACAAATCAGATTTAGGAATAAAGTGCAGCCTATATTCAGAACAATATGATATTTTATTGTGCCATAGATCTGATATGTTTTATTAGCACTCAGGGCAGCCAGACCTTCATTCTCTCCTAATTTTTATTGAGTTTTGTTTTTAAAAATGTCATGTCAGCACTAGGTAACACAGTTGAGTGCTGGCCTCTCAGGCACCTGTTAGAAGTGCAGATCCTTGCCAGAAAAAATAGAAATTGGCAATCTTACATATTTGTTTCTCTTTCCTACGGTCCTCTGTATTAGGACTTAATCTGTGAGTCAGATCCTCACAGGCACTTTGCTGAACCAGCTGCTTCTCTCCCTGTTCCAAACAACAGATATTTCAAATAAAATATATTTATTTTGTTTGGGGCTTTCCCATAGACTTTTTTTTTAAAATAACTTTTGACAAACTGTACTGGCTGAAGTTTGATTCTGAGAAGGATGCTAAACTCTCTTTCACTCTGTGTGGCTGCGAAATGTCTTGGGGCCTGTTTGGCCGTTGTACTGTGCTTGACAAAACTGTTTGGATGGCAAATTGGAGAAGACTGCTTATTGTGTTGTTGAACATTGTATGGAAGGGTGTGTGGAAGCTGCAAGTGATGCTTCAGTATGGAGACAGATTAGAAAGTATTCCTTCTTCTTGAGTATAAGTACCGTATTTTTCGCTCTATAACACGCACCCGACCATAACACGCACATAGTTTTTAGAGGAGGAAAATCCGTAGGCATGCCACCCTTAGGCATTTCCTCCATAACATGCACAGACATTTCCCCTTACTTTCTAGGAGGAAAAAAGTGAGTGTTATGGTGCAAAAAATACGGTATATGCTTGTTGCATTCTAGTTCATTACTGTGCACACCAGAAGAAACCAACATGGTGCCCATCAGAAGTTTTGAGCTACAGCTCTGACCATTGGCCATTTTGATTGAAGCTGTTGGGAGTTATAGTCCATCTGGACACAAGAGGCACCATGTTGACAAACCCCATTAGACAGTTACTAGCATCAGCTCTCCAGACTTCAGACAGCGGACTCAATTCTGATCCTCAACTCCAACTTGAAATATAAGTGAAAGATTTTGGATGGGTTGTTCCAATATAAGATGGAAGTCCCAGTGTGTCTTTAAATTATGTACTGGAAGCGTAGCCCAAACATTCCTTTATTTATTAAATTGGTAATGCTAGTAAAAATACTCATCACTAAAGTTTCTTAGAAGGAGATTTCACTGGCATCAAATGTCCTTTCATTCAAGCAGATGCTATAGGGTTGGAGGACTGGGAAGTGAAGCAACAAAACCACCACAGACTATGATGCGTAACAACAGAGAGCATTGGCGCAGTTCTTTAGGTTGGTTGCATTTCCTCTCCCTGCCTATTCAAAGTGGTTGGCTACCTTTGCCCTTGCTGATGTTTTCAACCATTGGCTATGGGGTATCATCATGACATAACTATGTCCACCCCTCGATTCCTAATTGGCTGGGATTATCCGGGGAAAGAGAGCAAAGACAGAAAGAAAAATTGTGATGAACTGCAGCAAAGAGTGGAAAGAGTTGTTGAAAACAGTCGTGAACAGGCATAAAATGGGAAGATTTGGGGGTTGTTAAGGGGGTTCCCCTTAAAAGTAGTTGTGCACGAAAAATGAGGGTAAAAATCTAGCCACAATGAAATAATACACAGAAAGCTGCCTTATGCTGAATCAGGCTACTTGTTCATCTAGTTCAATATGTCTACACTGACTCGCAGCAGCTAGCCAAGGTTTCAGGTTGGAGTTTTCCCCAGCCCTACCTGGAGTTTCAACATGGGACGTTCTACATGCAAAGCAGATACTCTACTCCTGAGCCACAGGCCTTCCCCTGTCCACCTGGCATAGTTCTGGATATTTGGCTTATCACTTCCTTTTAAATTAATTTTTCTTTTAAAAAAAGTTGTTTATCTTTCTCTGCACTAAAGCACCCCAGCCAAGTTCTAGCATAGCATTACATCAAGCTGTTTTCAGGCCCTGGGGAAACAGACAATCAGTATGGGCAAATGATCAGCAGTGCCAAAGGATGAGGGAAGATAACATGTTAGCTGAGAAACAAAAACATAAAAGCAAAAATGACTGTTTCCTTTCCCTCCCTTTCCTTCCACAGTACTGTTGCTGGAATACCTCATTTGAAGATTAAGCATTCTAAGAACAGTGTTTCAATCTGCTATGGACTTTTCCAGTCTCATGCCTGACCTCTCTCTCTCTCTCTCCCTTTGACCTTCTATGTGGCGCTCAGTTCTAATGGGCTGAACAGCAGAAGAATTCACTGCTCTCCATCTCATAAGATCAGGGAGTATTGTTCTCATTTTACTCCTCAGGCCTTGAGTGGCTGGGAAACCCAGCCAGGTGGGCGGGGTATAAAATAATAATAATCATCATCATCATCATCAGCAGCAGCAGCAGCATAAAGGACAGCCGCATGCAATCAGGCAATTAAGCCTAACTTAACATTGCTGATCATTGCACAGAAGAACATGCTATTTAAACATGCTCTAAAATTCAACTATGCAAAGGGCAATGTGCTGCAACGTAACATCCAATCCCTAGAAAAAACCTTAAAATACATTTCTCCCTTCCTAAGGCTTGTTGGCAGGGTTACATGACACAAAGTTAATCTGTCTGGTTCTAAGTATTATTATTATTATTATTATTATTTATACCCCACCCATCTGGCAGGGTTTCCCCAGCCATTCTGGGCGGCTTCCAGCACAATACATTTAAAGCACCCTTATACCAATTCAACAGTTAAGGCTTCCCCTAAAGAATCATGGGAACTGTAGTTTGTTAAGGGGTCACCTGACAACTCTGAACACCCTTTAAAAAAACGCACTACCTAGGATGGGAGACTGCCTGGGAAAACCATGTATACTACATTGAGTTCATGTTGGAAGGAAGGTGGCCTAGAAATATTCTGTTCCACAACAGCCTAATCTCCACAGCAGTGTGAGATTCCATGGGTCCAGGCACTTATG